CACGAAATCGATATCCTCGTCTCGCCGTGCGAAGTTCGAAAGCATCAAGACGCGCTTCTTTTCACGGACTGTTTCCACTCGGTATGGATCAAGACCACCGATGATACCAAGGCACTGAGCACAAAGAATCGTGATATCGGAGTGATCTTCCGAGAAACGAACGCTGGCATCGAGGAGTGATCGCGTCAAAGCGGCTAAGACCGGAAGAGGCTTTTGGCCAACGATCGACTGATGCAATTCCTGCTGATTGGCATCCAGAAAAGGCACAAGCTCTATCAGAGCCTGACGCACCACGACTGATGTCTGGTCTTTGCATCTGTTGCTGAAGGCTTGGAAGACCTTAATGGTCTCAATCATATCTCTGAACTTTGCCAACTCGCCTTCAATCTTGGAGAACATTGGTATGCCGGCCAGTGAGGGAAGATATTCGACTCTAGCTCGAAGCTGGGGGTTGTACTGGCTTATGATGCTTCCGACAGCTTTGTGGGCTTTGAGCTGCGTGTCTGAAGAGAACAACGACCAGTGTTGTACAATCAGTGCAAAGGTTTGATCCACGACTAGCATTGTTTCATCTCCATCAAGAGCTGCCAAAAACGCAGTCCAAACGGTGAATGTATCGTCGCAGAGGTCTGGATCTCCGATGGCTGATTGAAGACAGGCGCGGATTTGCGGTAACGCGCCGTTTACGCTAAAGCGTGCAAGGGAGATGAGATCGCCGATAGCAGCTATGCAATTTTTCCTGTCGGGCATCGTATACTGTGCGGCTTTACCCTGGGCGCTAGGAGCCGCGATGACGTTCGAAAGATACGCGATGATGCCCAGAATATGCGTCTCGCAGAAGGCATCTAGGTTTTTGGACTTTGACGTCGATTTGCGCTGTCCTGATTTTGTATCTGGTGCGAGCGACGCCAGCGTGCTGAAAGCGCTGTAGTATGGCTTCTTACCGACTCCCTCTTGGTCTGCAGCCAGCCTGAGTATCTCGATAGCAACACCAGTGATGTCTAGGGCGACCCACGAATCAAGCCTGTTATTGCTGCTCTCTCGGATAGCAGGCTCAATAGCTGCTAATGTTTCCATTGCTGTCTTTTCAACGTCGGCAACGGGCTGTGATAGCAGTAGAGCAAGTATCTTGGAGAGGTTTCCTCTTGGATACGTCAAGACGTCGATGATAGAAGCCTTCCGTGCTTGGGCGATCTTTTCGATGATATCTCTTCTTTTGCTCAGAACGAGATGCGGAAGGGTGTCCGCTTGCGTCAGTACCAACAATTGGCGAACGTTTTGCTCGATCAGATCTGCCAATTGCTGCGCTTTCTGGGGCTTTTTGATGTAGTCTTTGATCACCGAGAAACCGATGACCTTCCAGTAAGGACTCAAGAGCTGCATCGTGGACATGGATAACCCTTTGGCGATGGTTTCAAGTTCGCGGTAAGCCATACCGCACACCAGTGCGTTGGAGTGACCAAAGTATTCGACCAAGTGATGTAATATGATGGGTAGCTCGAGCTCTCCACACGTCAACGCTGTTCGACCATACGCGATGATAAGCGTCTCCTGATCGGACAGAACGTCGCGCTGCGCTAAAGCGTCCAGAAACTCAATGAATGATCGCCGATTCTTACTGCGGGTGTTTTTGGATATATCGTTTCGTAGGAATACCATCAAGGAGCTTGTTGCGGCAAGCTTCAGTTCTCTCAGGGATCTACTCATAGACGCAAGCAGCCACTGCCCAAGCTCACAGATCTCGAGAGACAGATACTCAGAGTCAGAGATGTGGTTATAGACACGGCCAATAGCGACAGCCATTAGTATCCGAGCTTGCTGCGACTCCTCGAATGCTGGCTCTTTGGTTATGGTAAGCATGGCGGCAATGACTTCCTTCCAGCTCTCTCTATCGTCCTGTTTGTTCCAGTATGTCATGGCGCTTCGTTCGTGGCGAGCATTCGTATCGCATAACACGCAACTAAGAGAGTGCACTGGCTGCGACGTGGACTGAGATAGTTCTAGACACCGGGAACCGGCGCATGCAATCTTCGCAAACGCTGTCATGAGGTCCACTTGTACACGTTCATTTTGTTGATCGTCGTCCATCATAGAAGAGTATCTTGCCCTGTAGCTGTCAGCAGTGTACATTTAGGTCAACTTAGACAACTTACTCGATGATATTGTGGAGATTGGTTAGGTTGGGAACCGGAGAGTCATGGGTACTGCCATTCAGTATCATCACGAGTCGTTCATAGGTGGTATGATTGATGTCTGGAGTATGCAGGAGCTTCTTTCGCCGCTTCGCAGGCCTTTCCTCATTGCCCAAGTTCAACATCCGGAAGCTTTTCAGGATTGGTGTCGATTGTTCGGAAAGTTGAGCATCCGAGAAACTGCCAGTATCACCCTCGCAGAGCTCTCTTCGTATGTCCGCAATGTGTATAGGCCATATACCTGGTGCCGTCCAGAGGCAAAGGGAGAGCTAGATTCGATCAGCATGGACAAAAACTGCGGTGTTTCACTCATACCTGCAAGTCTTTGTGAAGCTGCGAGAAGTGTTCAACATCCTGACAGGCTCTAGCTACGATAGCCTCAACGTCGTTCAGAACGACCGATCTGCTCATGTTCTTTCGACGTCGTGTGGCTAAGTCGTCCATTGTTGGCGAAGTAAGGACACTGCGTAACCGGGTAAGGACGATGGCCAGTCGCACTTGAATGACTTCTGACGCTAACTCTGGCGCTGTCGATAAACCATCAATGAGATCGCTGAGACTATTGATAAGCGACTGTGCGTTCTTCAGTGATTCCAATGAACGGTCTCCGGGGGTGCCTGCAGGAAGGAACAGAGTTTCGAGTAGCTGCAAATATGCGAGCGTGATTTCATTGACGAGGATGCCTCTCTCCGAAGTTGCCGTCCAACGCCGTAAATGCTTCCACAAATCTTGAGCACTGTCGATGATCCATGGTACATGGTGATCTAGGGAACTAGACGTCGCCGACGCTCTGCCCTGGGGCGGAGCAACACATGCCAGGGTGGTGAGAAGACAAAAACCGGCATGGATAGCTCCGAGTCGCGAAGTAACTACTCGCTGCAGATCATGGGGCAAAGCAATGATTTGTTGGCTGTCTGGCCAAAAGTCGCTGATGCTGCTTGACGATGGTAGGAGTAGGTTGAAAGACAGTACAGCTGCCGAAGCTGGATCATCCATGGACCGCAGCTCTGTCAAGATAGCTAGATGGACGTGAGTATTCGCATAAGTTAACTTAGGGTAGTACTTACTTTGCGCACATGATCTGTAAAGCTGTGAGACTGCTGCAGCGGGACGCCAGAGGGCAGATGTTCGTGCGAGCGCGCTTAGGCAGAGATGCAGTATTTGGTGTACATGTTCGTGCACATAGGTGAGTGCTTCATGTGCTAACAGGCCCAATAACTTAGGAACCAACCAGAGAATAAGCGGAGGACGAGAAATGCTGTCATCTTCTGTTTCTCTAACGCTCAGCAGCAGATGTGGCTTTTGTTGCAAGATGAAAGTGAGCGCGGCAATACTGTCAATACCCTGCTGTCTCTGCTGGTCCTGGGCGAACGGATCATCTTTGAACAAGCCTTCAAGTCCTGCTTCGGCGATGACACTGATGAGCGCTACGAGCTGTGCATCGGGCTCGTCCGTGTTTGGGTGTTGGAGAAACTCTTTGACCAGCTCACCAAAGCTGACTTTGGTTGCCTCGCCCTGCCACGCATGAACATTTGACGCGTTACTGACGATTTGGGCCGCAATGGTCGACGGTGGGGGCACGCCATTCGAGTTGCCGTTAGTCACAGGTGGCGGTGCCATCCGCTGAGTCGAGCTCCCGCCTTTGCGGGCCATGATGCACGTTACCGATGTGGCATGTCGGATAGGTAAGGAAAGAGTGGAATCTTGGCACCTGGGTGCTGGCGATGATGCTGCGTCTTTAGACTCCAGCGAGCGTTCGTAGCAGTCTTGACTGATTCAAGATGGATTGACGGTGGATTCGCCTGATTGGACGCTGGTGGGGTTTCTGTCTGCAATTTCCGGTGTGGCGCTCGTGGACCTTCAAAGAGTGGCGTCTCGCGTTATTAATACGTGGCTCCGTCTGCAATCGCGTAGTTTGCGATATGATCGGTGGTTTGACGAGTGTGTGGGGTTTGCTAAGAAGATGCATGGGTTTACGTGGACGCGAAATCACGTAGTCACGGGACCGCGCTAAGCCCGATCTCGGGAAAGAGCGCTAGGTACTCCGCAATTCGATGTTGAAGCATCGAACCATCCTCATCCAAGACACTGCGCCCGCAACCTCGAACGTTATATACGTCAAACTCGCATACCGACACCCATATTGCATAATTTTGGGTCGAGCACGCCCTAGACCGCAGCCATGCCTGGCCCCTTCACCTCCAAATCCTTCAGCGCCACACTCCCCAACTCGCTCGCCGCGAAGTACCGAAAGTCGCTACAAAAACACCCCTTCCTACTCTTCGGCCTACCGTTCCTGTCTACGATACTTCTCGGGTCGTTCATGTTGACTCCCGCCACGGCGCTGCGGTACGAGCGATACGATCGCAAGAACCAGCAAATCACACATGAACAGGCCATGGGTCTGAGAGGAGAGCGGAGGAAGGTGAACATGAAGGACGAATACTACGTGCGTATACTGGGCAAACTGGTCATTGATGGTGTCTGTACTGACAATTGTGCAGAGACTACAGGCGAAAGACATAGACGACTGGGAGCAGAGGCGTGTCAAGCGGCTACCGGGCGAACCAGACGGCACACTTGTATGATTGTGCGATGTACATACATAACAGCACCAGACACGGCGTTACGGAAAGCTATTCGCAAAACAAATTCGGTACCTCTACACAATACAAACCCCTCTACTCCTTTCGATGCACACGCATCACGTTCGAAAGCGCATAGCTGAGCTGGTCGGGTCGAAGGCATAACGATCGCACTTATACCATGAAAGCCCACGCTGGGAGATATCCAAATACCACAACGTACTCACTTCAGTCCTGCGTCCTCACCTCGGTCGATTGGGACCGGGTCCAACGAAGCTGTAGTCGAGAGATTACTATCCTGGCAGCCCTGTGGACGTTGAGCTGCCAGGTTGTGAGCCTTCAATAACTCGGTCTCCTTTTCGTGGCTCGTCTTTGATCCGTCTAGTCTCAGCCACAATCCGCCAGAATACTTGAACGTTCGGTCTGCGCTATCGTAGTGATACCATTGCTTACGGCCTGCGTCCCATGTCCAATAATTTTGATCCATCGCCGGAGTACGCTGAATTGGTTCCGGCTTAATCGTGTCGAGATCGTGCTCCATGTCATCGAGGAGCTTGGCAGCTACGGTGCGTCTGGATAACCCATCTCTGCTCCAACCTTTAGCCGGGTCGATGATTCTCTCCATGAGATGGTCGGTTCGGTAGATGTATACAAGGGCATCGCCGCCGATTTGGGTCCCTGCGTAGATTTTCAGGTATGAGTTGATGGCCTTCAATGATGTCTCGATATCAGCCCTGCGTTTTTCGAGCTCGTCGCCTATCGACATCAGATGGGAGGCAAGCCAATGTCCCAATAAACCAGGGTCTTACCAGACGGGTGAAGACTACAGGTATCGGGATCTCTGAACTTATAGACCAACAGAATCGTCTCAAGGTGGCGGACTGCATACGTAATTCCGATGCTGAGATTGTGTCGTCGATTTACATCCATGGTCCTTCCAAAAGCAGTTGTATGTTCCAGGCTCGCTAGAGCTTTCCGGTGACTGGAACGGAGGAATAGTTTCGGCCTACGCTGAAAGAAACAATTGAATGCGCTGAGTTATGTTGCAGGGGCTTGGAAGAGTTATGGATGCGCTGTGCTTCCCCGCTTCAGCCTTGCTGCTCACGTCCTAAATTGCCCAAGATGGGCAGCAACGGGTGTATCCCACGAAAGACCAAACAACTCCATCAACGTGTTCAAAGAATGGCAGAGTAGTGACTACCCATTCACAAACGACCGGTACGCCCAAGCCTGCTTCGCATCGTAGCCTAGAGTAATAAGGTATCAGTCTTTCGACTCTGCCGCAAACTCCTTTTATGGAGCGGACATGCGTGGTATACATGGTAAGTAAGCAGTGGCGCTGCGACAAGGCTCCAGGACCACATGTCAATGGGCATATCATCATACAAAGCTACCCAGGCAGAGTGATGTGTCGAAGTGTTCCTATGTGGGGCTGGTGTACACTTCTTTCCAGTAGATGAATCACTGTTGATGCTGGCCAAGTTGAATATCTGATTACAACAGAAGACTTTGAGAAGGTTGAGATTGGATGGAACCGGCGTGAGATGCTATAGCAAGCTGAAAGACCACATTTTGCAAATAAGCCTGCACATGCATGGGTCATGGTTCATCTATGTGGTGTCACCATACAATTATTAGCTGATTCGCTAATAGCGTAGGTGGCTTGCGTTATCGCCCAGCACATGCAAGACACGAATTTCGTCAGCTGAAATATTACGTCGCAGCCTGACCACTCAAGCCTCCAGCACGGCCCTGCGGTAAAGAGTCATCAGGCCAGCACCCTTGAGTCAACGATTTTTCTACTCCGCGTATCTGTGACGCAGCTCTAAAGGACTATTAAACACATTTGTCCAAGGTGTTACCTCTCTCGCACTTGGTCAATACTTACGGCCTTTTTCATTGCTTGTTCCCAGCTCATTACCCGATGAACTACAGAATCTAGAGTAGCATGAGTGGAGTCGAAGTCTCCAAAGATCCCAATGCGTTTCAAGTAGGTCCGCTATATCAATTTCTTGCGCAGGATATCGTCGCAAGCTAACGTACACAGCGGGAAACGTCGTTCGATTGTGGCGACGAGGCTGCTATGAAGGTTACTGAAACCAAAAAGACTGAAAAGCCTGATGGAACGTCAGTTGAGACTGGGACAAGGAAAATGAAGAAATTCTTTGTAGCGAGCGTGAGGCGCAAGAACGGTCGTGCGGAATATCAGCTCAAAGATGCTGCGGGAGAGCTTTACAAGGACGGTGCATGGATCCCGGAACGAAATCTTAAGGTGTTGTAGGAGGTGCATCTGCAGATAATCAGCCCCCGCGCCCCCGTCTCGAAAAGATATGAGCTTGCAGCAATGGGTCAGCATCCAGGGCATCTATATGTTTCACTTTCCCACCAATTTGAGCTGCGAGTATTTCCTTGTAACCTTCTACATGCACTAAATCCTGATCATCACACCTGCATTGTTTATGGGTGACTTTAAAGCGACTGTGCATCAGGCAGAGACTGACTTGGTTCAGCCTGATGACTACAAGCAGGGAAGCCATGCCACCACAGATCCTGAAGTCGGTGAAAGCCACAACCTAACTGGTAATTGAGCCCTCTGCATTGTATAGTCACCTGAAACTCGCGACTAATCGTTGTCGACAGTGACTAAACAACGCTGGGTATGGAGCAAAGGATCATCGCCGACAGATCCTGAAGTAGGGGGAAGACATGGCCTTACTGGTGATCGGACCCTGTACATTTTGGAGTCGTCGAGAACGCGCGACTAATTATCATTGACAGTGATTCAAAAGCGCTGGACATGGACGCGAGAATTAATGGATGTGCCTGAAATGGAGCAGAACGAGGACGAGGCTGAGCGGGTCTTGTTTGCCCCTGGTGAGAACCAATCCCCATCCGGTGACGCCTGGCTGATTTCTGGCATTGATCAGGGAGTGAAATCCGACGAGGCTATCCACTTCAATCAGCCTTCCAGTCTAGTAAGCCAGCATTTTCGATCTACCGAGCTTTTGACTATCTTCATTCGCGTGTTATACTCGAGCTTCAAGACCAGCTCCGCGAACTAGAGGAAAGACTGGGAGAGCTAGACAAGGAACACTATGAGTCAAAAGACAAGAAGCAAAATCTAAGGGTCGTCTCCCGCATCAGAGATTTGGAGGTTGCTCAAATTGTCCAAGACGAAGGTGTAACTGGCGAAGAGACCGATTACGAGGCAAAAGTTGAGCAAGGTGGTCGACTTGCCCGAGAAGCCATTCGCAATCGCAGCGAGAGAGCCATGCTACTGGAAGAGATTGAACAGAAACTCATCAGGTACGACGAAGCCCTGGCAAATTCCCGAAGACTGAATGAGTTTCAACGACCGAGTGACCGCGATCGATCTGACCTCGAACAATGGCTTGACAACACTAAACCCGTGAACTTTGAACCAGAGGAGAACTTCATTCGGTTCAAGTACGACCTCATCACCTTGAACCCCAGAACGGATTCTGGTAAGATTGACGCCTGGGTTGAGAAAGCCATTGGCAAACTGCCCAAGAAGAAAACCACTGTGAGTATGTTCTGGTACCACTGCAATGTTCATCAGGCTGATGTTTGCGCACGAAGTGGTTCTACAAGCAGAAGTTTCGAGGCTTTGAAAATCAGTACACGCGTTTCTTCCATGTTTCTCGGGTTGAACGCCTCGCTGTTATGATCGTCGCTGTTGTTATCATTCTTTTACTAGCTGTACCGGTGTCTATCATGTACCGCGTGACATGGATAGGCACTCGTCCCAGCACGTTTCTTAACATTGGACTTCTGATCGTCTTTGCTCTTTTATTTTCAGTGGCAATGGGTCTTCTGACAAGGGCCAAACGAGCAGAGCTCTTCGCTGCCACAGCAGCATATTGTGCCGTCCTGGTGGTGTTCATTGGAAATTTCAGTAGTAATGTTGGATCGAACTCCTCGTGAGGAGAAGGACCACCACGCATTTTGTGTACACATAGCGATAGATTGGACGTGACGGAGTATTATTCGTGGTTGTATCTCGATGACGCTCGTGTAATCTGTGTTGAGCTTGTCATTAGATGGAAAAATGAGAGAAGATGAAGGAAGTACGCTCATGACCGCTGTAAATGCAATACACAACAACTCGCTCGAACGCTTCGCTGCAAAAGACAGACAGAAAATAACAAATAAAGCCTCCAAGATGCTACAAAGAAACGACAGCATGTGAGGCCGTGGGACGAGAGTCGTAAGAAAAGGAAAAAAGAATGCAAGCGGGTATCCTCTAACGAATCTAGTCGTGATGATATCCCGCTGAGAAGGTGTGTGACGATGAAGGTACGAACAAGCGTACACATATACGAAGAGCCAAGGTGGGGTAGATGTTAGCAACACCTGCCACTCTTGCTCTTCTGCGCGCGGTTGATGTCTTCTTCCCAATCTTGCTGATGTCCAGCGACGTTGGGCGTAGTAGGAAAGCCCAACCAGCTCCGCCTTTTGTCACCTGTGCCTAAGCGGAAGCTTCCGTTACCCGTTCCAGGGTAATCGAAGTAGCCAGCCACATTGCCGTTGTTGTCCATGGCAGGGGTGACACCAGCCATGGCGTACTGCCGTTGTTCTTCCTCGAGCTTCTTCTGCTGTTGTTCCACAAGCTTGCGGGTAATGACGCGAAAGACCTCGTCTACACCCTCGCCGTCTTTGGCGCTGATCTCGTGACAGCAATCCCAGCCCAAGTCTTGTCCCCAGAAGCCGCTCGATCGATTGCTCTGTGGCGACGCCATACCGCTGTGGAAGGCTGCCGGTACGGAGCCCCAGCCGCTTGCTGCAGCACTGTGTGGCTGTCCGTTTTGTGTGGGGTGGAGGTTCTCGGCGACGTATTCGATGCAGCGCTCAAAGGGCACTTTCCGCTTGGTAGGGTCTTCGGCTACGACGTCTGACTTTGTTCCTACCACATGGAGGATCACGTCCTCTCCGAGGTTTGTCTTGAGTTCCTTGAACCAGCGGCCCATCTCCTCAAACGAATATGGATCGGTTATGTCGTAGCATAGTACTGCAGCATTTGCGCCTAGAGAAAATGTTAGTTCTGCGCTGAACGTTTGCTCATAGTAGACGATCCGAACTCGGCTGCCGAATGTGGGGTATCTAGATAGCGGAAAGAGACCCGATGTGTATTGCGACAGAATATGAGAGTTGATTCGGCGGAAGGAACAACAATAACGTACCCCTATAATACAGCTTGGATATGGACCGGAAGCGCTCCTGGCCGGCGGTATCCCATATCTGTAACCGAACCACGGTGGAGGTGTCGATATCCACAACCCTCTTTGTCAAGAAGGAAGCACCCACGGTGGACTGTGTCGTGGGAGGCGTAAAAGCGTTTTTGACATATCGGTGGACGAGAGAAGTTTTTCCAACTCCTTGGCTACCGAGGACCACGATCTTTGCTTCCAGGCTGTTGGACATATCGCCGTATTACGCCAAATCTATTTGTATACGTCGGTGTTGGCGGTGCAGGGATGGGGCGGCAGGCGGTGTTGTGGGGTCGGCTCAGATATGCGCGGTCGCGGTGCCTCGGAGCAAGAAAGAAAGGAAATGCGTGGGAGGTGGCGGGAGAACAAGTTGCATGGCGAGCAGTGAGAAAGAGTCGCCGGCAGATGTGAGAAGAGGCAGAGGATTGACGTAGAGGGTATCTGAGAATATTAGGCAGGAGGTGAGTGCCCGAATGACAGCCCAGCTGCGTTTGGCGCTTGCACCGATTCTCTTGGCTAGGGGAGCCATGTGACAGGCGCCTTAAGCCAATGTGAATCAGATCTGAGAAGGGTGCGTCCCAGATGGGAATTTGAATGCCCATCGTGATCGCAGCCCTGGGGACTGATAATCATCCAGGGGATGACGCGCCATGTTGATGCTGTGTGTCGGGCAGTCAACAATGCACGTCATGCCCAGCCAGCTGTCGTCTTCCCCGCGTTTCGGAGCAGCACGGAGTCTTCCACGCGACCGACGAGAACGTTAATACCTACCCCAACTAAGCTCCCTCAACGAACGACAGTCCCTGGCTGACACATATATCCTCAAGAATACCGCCTGCGAAGGACCGAGACGGGATGCCTAATGCGACAAGCCCGGAATCGATCTCGCCTCGAGCTCATGGGCTAGGGTGCTAACTCAGATGCGTCTCCGCGACCAGCATCCGAAGCCCGCGGGGATGAATGTACCGAGCTATTACCCCAAACATGCTGCCGTCACCAACCTGGCCCTTCCGCTCGTCCAAGCCCTCTAGTGTCTGGAAATAACCTAGATCGGCTCCATATATTTTCTGGCCTATCTTCGCGTCTTGATTACCTGCCCTTCAACATTTCGCGCTCGACACACCGCCGCCACGATGAACCACGACAGCAACAACACCCAGAAGGTGAAGCTCACCGGCGAGCAGGTCGCCCAGCACAACAACGCCGAATCATGCTGGGTCATCATCCACGGTCGCGCCTACGATGTCACCGAGTTCCTGCCTGAGCATCCCGGAGGCCAGAAGATTGTCTTGAAGTATGCTGGGAAGGACGGCACCGAGGCGTTCGAGCCAATCCACCCGCCCGACACGCTCGACAAGTATCTCGACAAGTCCAAACACTTGGGCGAGGTGGACATGAACACCGTCAAGGAAGAAGCGAAGGAGGTCGATCCAGATGAGGAAGCGAGGCAAGAGCGCATTGCGCGTATGCCTATTCTGGAGCAATGCTACAACTTGATGGACTTTGAGGCTGTCGCGCGTAAGGTCATGAAGAAGACAGCATGGGCATACTACTCCAGCGGTGCAGACGATGAGATCGTAGGTCTAACTTTGCAAACATTGCCGTTGCTGAGCTGACTATTGACAGACACTACGCGAAAACCACAGCGCATTCCACAAGATCTGGTTTCGACCGCGCGTACTCATCGACGTCGAGAAGGTTGACATGTCCACCACAATGCTCGGCACCAAAGTCGATATCCCCTTCTATGTCACCGCGACAGCACTGGGCAAGCTCGGTAACCCAGAGGGAGAAGTCGTTCTCACGCGCGGTGCACACAAGCACAATGTTGTCCAAATGATACCAACGTTGGCGTCTTGCTCATTCGACGAGATCATGGACGAAGCAAAAGACGGTCAAGTCCAATGGCTGCAGCTATACGTGAACAAGGACAGGGAGGTCACAAAGCGCATTGTGCAGCACGCCGAGAAGCGCGGCTGCAAGGGTCTCTTCATTACCGTCGACGCACCGCAGCTCGGTCGTCGCGAGAAAGACATGCGGAGCAAGTTCGACGATGTCGGTAGCAACGTCCAGAGCACCGGCGGCGACAATGTGGATCGTAGTCAAGGCGCCGCACGAGCCATCTCGTCCTTCATTGACCCGAGCCTCAGCTGGAAAGATATCCCGTGGTTCAGGAGCATTACCAAGATGCCCATTATTCTCAAGGGTGTGCAATGTGTTGAGGATGTTATCCGCGCCGTCGAGGTTGGTTGCGATGGTGTTGTCCTTTCCAACCACGGTGGCCGTCAACTCGATTTCGCTCGCTCGGGTGTCGAGGTACTCGCAGAGGTCATGCCAGTTCTTCGCGCACGCGGCTGGCAAGATCGCATCGAAGTGTACATCGATGGCGGTATTCGACGTGCGACGGACATTATCAAGGCTGTTGCACTCGGCGCCAAGGGTGTAGGCATCGGCAGGCCTTTCCTTTACGCCATGTCGGCATACGGTCTGCCAGGTGTCGACCGCGCTATGCAGCTGCTGAAGGATGAGATGGAGATGAACATGCGCCTTATTGGTGCTTCAAGCATTGCAGACCTGAACCCTTCGATGCTTGATACAAGAGGACTCAGCATGCACACTGCTACCGTACCCCACGACACTCTGGGCATGAATGTATATGACCCACTCATTGGTCCTCAAGAGAGTGTTGTCAAGGAGAAGTCGAAGTTATAAAAGAGCTTGTGATTGTAATGTATATATATTTAGGCGCATCGCATTCCTTCAAACATGGTAAATCGATACTTACAGCGTGATCCCGTCTTTGAACGAGTCCAAACCCATTTGAACTCTCCACCCCTTCAACATGTGCCATCATTCACAGCCTTGCGCCATCAAGTATGTTTATGTGGCACCCTTTGTCCGCGTCGTGACTACGCGTAGACGCGTTCGGCGAGTGGGGAAGGAGCGCCCGGTGGACCTTCCGATCGTCAAGCGTCCTTGAACCACGGGTCGCTCTTTCCACTTCAATCGCAGCACGCCTCGACCATTCACATTATCGCACCTTATTGTTTCACACATCCCCGCCTTTGAATCGCCTTCGCATCGTCGCTTCTACTTTTTGATTATACCTTAATATTATTCCATGGGCGCTCCTGACGTTGCAGCGCAGCCTGGCGCTGGCTGGGACGAAGCGCAATGCACAGCAGCCCTCGCACAGTTGGAGCAGCTTCAGGCGCAGGTGAGAATAGTATGCCGCGTTCTCTGGATAGCTCATATTGATATGCGACAGATCAGCGACATGCGCCTAGCCATCCCCCGCATCATCGAGCCCTTCCACCGCCCTCGCAGTTCCGCGACGTATAAACTGTATGCCGACGGCGTACTCGGTTCCCAGAAGAACCTCGATTCCCTCAAGAGCCAGTGGAAGTCACCAGAAATTCAAAGCACGTTTGAACACGTCAAGCAGAGCCTCGGCGCAAAT